GTGTGTGTGTGTGTGTGTGTGTTTAGGTGTGTGCTGAACTGGTTTGGCGACTGGTCGACTGAAGCGCTGTACCAGGTGGGTAAAGAGTTTACCAGTAAGATGGACCTGGAGAAGCCCAACTATAAGGTCCCGGATTACATGCCCATCGTATACGACAAGCTGCCGCAGCCGCCCACACACCGAGAGGCCATCGTCAACGGCTGCGTGTTCGTGCATCAGACGCTGCACCAGGTCAGACACACACACACACACACAATCAGTAACTCAATATATGGTGATGATCAACATGTGCAATATTGATATGAGCACTTCTGTGTGTGTGTGTGTGTCAGGCTAACAACCGTCTGGCGAAGCGTGGCGGCCGCACCATGGCCATCACCCCGCGCCATTACCTGGACTTCATCAACCACTACGCCAACCTGTTCAACGAAAAGCGCAGCGAGCTGGAGGAGCAGCAGATGCATCTGAACGTGGGGCTGCGCAAGATCAAGGAGACCGTCGACCAGGTAAGCTGCGCACACAAACACACACACACACACACACACACAATATTTTTTAGCTACAGTTTTGTTTACTGTCTGATTATTACGATTTATCATTACCGTCATGTTATTAACGTCTCGTCATTATCGTCACGTTACTAACAACTCATCATTACCATCTGATTATTAACATCTCGTCATTACCGTCTGGTTATTAACATCTCGTCATTACCGTCTGGTTATTAATGTCTCGTCATTACCGTCTGGTTATTAGTGTCTCGTCATTACCGTCTGGTTATTAACATCTCGTCATTACCGTCTGGTTATTAATGTCTCGTCATTATCGTCTGGTTATTAATGTCTCGTCATTACCGTCTGGTTATTAGTGTCTCGTCATTATCGTCTGGTTATTAGTGTCTCGTCATTATCGTCTGGTTATTAATGTCTCGTCTTTATCGTCTGGTTATTAACGTCTCGTCATTATTGTCTGGTTGTTAATGTCCCGTCATTATCGTCTGGTTATTAGTGTCTCGTCTTTATCGTCTGGTTATTAACGTCTCGTCATTATTGTCTGGTTGTTAATGTCCCGTCATTATCGTCTGGTTATTAGTGTCTCGTCATTATTGTCTGGTTATTAGTGTCTCGTCATTATCGTCTGGTTATTAATGTCTCGTCTTTATCGTCTGGTTATTAACGTCCCGTCATTATCGTCTGGTTATTAACGTCTCGTCATTATCGTCTCGTTATTAACGTCACGTCACTATTGTCTGGTTGTTAACGTCCCGTCATTATTGTCTGGTTGTTAACGTCCCGTCATTATTGTCTGGTTGTTAACGTCCCGTCATTATTGTCTGGTTATTAACGTCCCGTCATTATTGTCTGGTTATTAACGTCTCGTCATTACCGTCTGGTTATTAACATCTCGTCATTACCGTCTGGTTATTAACGTCCCGTCATTACCGTCTGGTTATTAGTGTCTCGTCATTATCGTCTGGTTATTAATGTCTCGTCATTATCGTCTGGTTATTAACGTCTCGTCATTACCGTCTGGTTATTAACGTCTCGTCATTACCGTCTGGTTATTAACGTCTCGTCATTATTGTCTGGTTATTAACGTCTCGTCATTATTGTCTGGTTATTAACGTCTCGTCATTATTGTCTGGTTATTAATGTCCCGTCATTACCGTCTGGTTATTAACGTCTTGTCATTATCGTCTGGTTATTAACGTCCCGTCATTATCGCCTGATTATTATTGTCTGGTCATTACCGTCTGGTTATTAACGTCTCGTCATTATTGTCTGGTTATTAATGTCACGTCATTATTGTCTGGTTATTAACGTCCCGTCATTATCGTCTGGTTATTAACGTCTCGTCATTATCGTCTGGTTATTAACGTCTCGTCATTATCGTCTGGTTATTAACGTCTCGTCATTATCGCCTGGTTATTAACGTCTCGTCATTACCGTCTGGTTATTAACGTCCCGTCATTACCGTCTGGTTATTAACGTCTCGTCATTATCGTCTGGTTATTAACGTCCCGTCATTATTGCCTGATTATTATTGTCTGGTCATTACCGTCTGGTTATTAACGTCTCGTCATTATCGTCTGGTTATTAACGTCTCGTCATTATCGTCTGGTTATTAACGTCTCGTCATTATCGTCTGGTTATTAACGTCTCGTCATTATTGTCTGGTTATTAACGTCCCGTCATTATTGTCTGGTTATTAACGTCCCGTCATTATTGTCTGGTTATTAACGTCCCGTCATTATCGTCTGGTTATTAATGTCTCGTCATTATCGTCTGGTTATTAACGTCTTGTCATTATTGTCTGGTTATTAACGTCTTGTCATTATTGTCTGGTTATTAACGTCCCGTCATTATCGTCTGGTTATTAACGTCTCGTCATTATCGTCTGGTTATTAACGTCCTGTCATTATCGTCTGGTTATTAACGTCTCGTCATTATCGCCTGGTTATTAACGTCTCGTCATTACCGTCTGGTTATTAACGTCCCGTCATTACCGTCTGGTTATTAGTGTCTCGTCATTATCGTCTGGTTATTAACGTCTCGTCATTACCGTCTGGTTATTAACGTCTCGTCATTACCGTCTGGTTATTAGTGTCTCGTCATTATCGTCTGGTTATTAATGTCACGTCACTATTGTCTGGTCGTTAACGTCCCGTCATTATCGTCTGGTTATTAACGTCACGTCACTATTGTCTGGTTATTAACGTCTCATCATTATCGTCTGGTTATTAACGTCACGTCACTGTTGTCTGGTTGTTAACGTCCCGTCATTATCGCCTGGTTATTAACGTCTCGTCATTACCGTCTGGTTATTAATGTCTCGTCATTACCGTCTGGTTATTAACGTCTCGTCATTACCGTCTGGTTATTAGTGTCTCGTCATTACCGTCTGGTTATTAACGTCCCGTCATTACCGTCTGGTTATTAACGTCTCGTCATTATTGTCTGGTTATTAACGTCCCGTCATTATCGTCTGGTTATTAACGTCTCGTCATTATCGTCTGGTTATTAACGTCTCGTCATTATCGTCTGGTTATTAACGTCTCGTCATTACCGTCTGGTTATTAACGTCTCGTCATTACCGTCTGGTTATTAATGTCTCGTCATTATCGTCTGGTTATTAACGTCTCGTCATTATCGTCTGGTTATTAACGTCTCGTCATTATCGTCTCGTTATTAACGTCACGTCACTATTGTCTGGTTATTAACGTCCCGTCATTATTGTCTGGTTGTTAACGTCCCGTCATTATTGTCTGGTTGTTAACGTCCCGTCATTATTGTCTGGTTATTAACGTCCCGTCATTATTGTCTGGTTATTAACGTCTCGTCATTACCGTCTGGTTATTAACATCTCGTCATTACCGTCTGGTTATTAACGTCCCGTCATTACCGTCTGGTTATTAGTGTCTCGTCATTATCGTCTGGTTATTAATGTCTCGTCATTATCGTCTGGTTATTAACGTCTCGTCATTATCGTCTAGTTAGTTATGTCTCGTCATTATCGTCTGGTTATTAACGTCTCGTCATTATCGTCTGGTTATTAACGTCTTGTCATTATCGTCTGGTTATTAACGTCCTGTCATTATCGTCTGGTTATTAACGTCCTGTCATTATCGTCTGGTTATTAACGTCTCGTCATTATCGTCTGGTTATTAACGTCCTGTCATTATCGTCTGGTTATTAACGTCCTGTCATTATCGTCTGGTTATTAACGTCTCGTCATTATCGTCTGGTTATTAACGTCTCGTCATTATTGTCTGGTTATTAACGTCTCGTCATTATCGTCTGGTTATTAACGTCTCGTCATTACCGTCTGGTTATTAACGTCCCGTCATTACCGTCTGGTTATTAACGTCTCGTCATTATCGTCTGGTTATTAACGTCTCGTCATTACCGTCTGGTTATTAACGTCTCGTCATTATCGTCTGGTTATTAACGTCTCGTCATTATCGTCTGGTTATTAACGTCCTGTCATTATCGTCTGGTTATTAACGTCCTGTCATTATCGTCTGGTTATTAACGTCTCGTCATTATCGTCTGGATATTAACGTCCCGTCATTATTGTCTGGTTATTAACGTCTCGTCATTATTGTCTGGTTATTAACGTCACGTCATTATTGTCTGGTTATTAACGTCCCGTCATTATTGTCTGGTTATTAACGTCCCGTCATTACCGTCTGGTTATTAACGTCCCGTC